TTAGTTCTTTTTATATGTAGACAGGAGGCTGAAAACGAACATGGCATCTGGGCAGCCGCTGTACATTTGTACTATTATCTACATATACTGGGTGTGATAGTTACAGGGTGTTTAAGACAAGTCAATATTTTTTTATGTTAGATACACGTCGCTCCTTAAGGAAGTTCAATAGACCTTTCGACCTTTCGAGGATAAATAGGACACATTTAGTGTAGGCTTCCTTTACGTCTTCTATTAATGGGTTTACACTCAGCGAAGAAGTGAGATATTACTTGTTTTTCTTTCTTATAATCACACAAGCGATTGTTCAACTATGTTTGTTCTAAGAATTTGCAACTGCAAAATTCTGGCAGAACTCTTAAAAATGAGACACAACTCAAAGGTAGTTTGAGCAAGATACCAAGTCTAGGAATCTGCAAGTTCTCCGACACTATGCCAAAGGAAATCTGCTTTGGAAGAAAACTTCAGTTCAAAATCCCAGGCTGAACTATTGTAGATCTCAGATATGTACATTGGTACACAGACGGAACAAAGATGGAGGGCAGAGCAGGAGCGAACGTCTTTGGACCTGGCACCAAACGTTCTATTGCAATGGGTACATAGTCCACGGTGTTTCAGGCCGAGGTACTAGCAGTCTCAATTTGAGCCATACTGAAACTTTAGAAGATTTTAAAGGGCACGTTTCTAGTTATCTTTTCAGTTAGCCAGACAGCCATAAGGACCCTTTGCAATAGGATGATCATCTCCACGCTCATCAAGGAATGCTTTGACCCTATCCAACACTTGGTAGCAAGGAACACGGTATTACTATGCTGGTAGGTAATGAGGCCGCCGACGAATTGGTAAGGGAAGGCTCGTCGTCTGTACTTGTGGCGGGCGGAACCGTTTTCGGGACTCAGTTGTTCCTTTTCGAGACTCATAATCGAAGAGACTCTAAACGCAGTAAGTACTGGGGGCCTTAGACAAGCAGCCTCTCAAATGCGCCGGATAGGTCTTCCCACAGCGACGGATTGCCGTTTTTGCCTTGAAGACGAAGAGACGTCAGTCAATGAATGTTTTCATGACCGTATGTATATTTACCTATAGTCGGGAGGCTAGACGAGTGAAAATTCTATTGATTCGGCCAACGAGCTTGATCTACACTTGCTATTTCTGACTACTTTAGAATTTGGTTTTGGTGATGCCAGTGCCAGAAGTGCAACCTCGCTGTCTCGATTATTCAAAATGTATTTAATGGTGTTCATGTCACTGAAAACTGTTTTTTTTTCTTTTTAACTTTACTTGTTTTTTTTTTTAATGCTTTATTTTAATTTTCTTTAAATTTTTAAGCTTTCATATTCATTTCCTTCGAAATTAAGTGCTTTTATCTCTTAGAACCATTTTCTCAACTAGCTTTTAAAATTTATCTATCCTTTAAAAACAAATTTTGAACTCCAAAAATACTTGGGAAAAGTGGCGTTATTTGTTTTTTTGTAAAAAAAAATTAATTAAATGTACTTTTTTTAAATTGTATTTAAAGGTCATAAAAACTTACTGTTTTGATGTCTTACTTTTACTTTGAGAAAATTGGCGTTATTTGTTTTTTTATACTTTTGGTAAAAAAAAAAATTAAATAAAATGTCCTTTTTTTAAATTGTATTTAAAGTCCATAAAAACTTACTGTTTTGATGTCTTACTTTTACTTTTTGCAATAAAATTTTATAAAAATAAAATGTTTATTTAGAATTTCTTTAAATGCTTGCAAAAATTGTATTTAAGTTGTATTTTGATTGTCTTTTTGTATTTAGTTTCTATAAAATTCTACTGTTCTCATGTTTAATAATTTTTTTTCTTAATTTTATGCAAAATTTTATTTTTTCCTTAACGATTTATGCATTTAAATTTTTTTTTATTTTAGCTTTTGATCCAATTTCGTATTAATTTGTTCAAAATTCCTTTTTGTGGAAAATTTCTGTGAAATATAATTTGTATGTTTGTTTGCTATTTAAAGTCTCGACAACTTTATGGCTTTCATAATATATTATTTTTTGCAATAACTTAAATTTTTTTAGAAAATTGTATTTTAATTTTTTACTTATTTTTACTAGGCTGTCATGTTTTTTCTTTTTAAATTTATTTGAGTGTTGTTTGTGTTTGTTGATTTTATTTAATTTCTGCAAAAGTTTAAATTAAAAAGTACACTTTTTTAATTTTTTGCAAAATAAAATTTCTTATGCATTGTTTTTTGTTAGTTCATTTTTATTTTATCTTTAAATGTTAATTTTTATTTTTATTCTTTTATTCAGTTTTTCCAATCATTTATTCAGTTTCCAACTACTTATCACCTACCTATTTTTTGCACTAACTGTAATTTTTTCTTAGAAAATGTTATTTTAATTTTTTATTTATTTTTTCTGGTCTTTCATGTTTTTGCTCATAAAATTTATTTTAGTTTTGTTTGGATCCTCCATCTACAATTAATGTCCACCAAAATTTAAATTAACCTTTTAAATTTTTTGCAAAAAAAAAATCATTCTTATATTTTTTTAAATTTATTTACGTTAATTTTTATGATAATTTAATTGTTTCATAATTTTTTGGTTTTAAAAAGCTCTCTAATTGTGTAACTAACAGAAGTATTTTTTCGTAGGTATGATTTTCTTTTGTTTTTATACCCGAGCGCACTTGTGCACAAGGGTATATTAATTTTGTTCACATAACGGTTGTTTGTAACAGCCAAAACGAATCGAGATAGATATAGACAAATGTATACATAAATGATCAGGATGAAAAAAGAAATCGATTAAGCCATGTCTGTCTGTCCGTCCGTCTGTCCGTCTGTCCGTCTGTCCGTCTGTCCGTCTGTCCGTCTGTCCGTGTACACGATAACTCGAGCAAAAATTGAGATATCTCAACGAAATTTGGTATGTAGGTTTCCTTTAATCCAAGGTAGGTTGGTATTGAAAATGGGCGAAATCGGACTTTAACCACGCCCACTTCCCATATAACGGTAATTTCCAGAAATACGAAAACTGCGATATTTTAGTAACTACTGAAGATAATTCACTCAAAATTGATATTTACAGTAATTTTTAGACGAAAAATAAGAATATTATAAATTTTTGGAAAATGGGCGTAGCCACGCCCACTTATGGTTACATGTGTATATCTTGGTAACCGCTGCACCAATTTCTTCCAAACTTGGCACAGTTGTTGGCCTTCGAATAACATACCAACTGGCCGAAAATTTTTAAAATCGGTCAATAACCACGCCTACTCCCCATATAACGCTAATTTTCAGAAATACGAAAACTGCGATATTTTAGTAACTACTGGAGATTATTCACTCAAAATTGATATTTATAATAAGTTTTAGACGAAAAATAAGAATATTATAAATTTTTGGAAAATGGGCGTAGCCACGCCCACTTATGGTTACATGTGTATATCTTGGTAACCGCTGCACCAATTTCTTCCAAACTTGGCACAGTTGTTGGCCTTGGTACAGCATAAAAAACCGCCGAAACTTTTTAAAATCGGACAATAACCACGCCCACAACCCATATAACGGTAATTTAGAGAAATACAAAATCTTCGATAAATCATTAAATATTGAAGCTAATTTATTCAAAATTGATGCTTGCAACAATTCTTTACCAAGAAATACGTTTATGGTAAAATTTTGGAAAATGGGCGTGGCACCGCCCACTTATGATCACATATAAGTATATCGGTAACCGTTCTACCAATTTGTACCAAACTCGGTATGGTTATTGTACTTGCCACGTGTAAGCAAAACGTTGAAAATTATTGAAATCGGACTAAAATAACGGCCGATTCTCATATAACGGTAAATTTAAGAAATGCTTGAAACTTCAATATTTCCAAATTGAAGGACGCTAATTTACTCAAAATTGATACACCTCGGCTTACCATCTAGCGGAAGGTTTCGGAAGGGTGAAAAAACATATATTTAATACTTGCGCCGGGTATTTAATGTTCGGCTCCGCCCGAACTTAGACTTTCTTACTTGTTGCATTTAATTTTGTCATGCCACTGCGATCATATGGTTTCCTCGCTTTTTGTGTGCTTCGCATTCTTCGCTCTCTTGCGCTTCATTTCCTAATTCGTATACACGTTTTTTTTGGTGACACTGTAGCAGAGTATGTTATAACATATTAATATATATATTTTTTCTTTTTAACAAAAACTAGTTTTCCGCACAGCATTTTATTTGAATTGATTAACACTTGTCGCTTATTTTAAGTTAATCAGCTGGCACCATATACATATGTACTTATGTATGTATGTATATATTTTAATATTTTTATTATCAACAACACATTTTAAATTGTTTTACGCGCACTACCCTACAAACATACATACATACATACTTACAGATGTACAAACACAAGAACATACATACATACTCATGCATATTTCATTGCTCTGAATGCTGTGTCAGCGTTGCGCCCAATACACTCGAACGAAATGCCGCAGCCACAGTCACTGTGATCAGTGTTTTTTTTTTTGTAGTTGTTGCTGCTGGGCGCGCATAAAATTTAAATTTTTTACATTTACGCGGAGATCTCGCACACATGTATTACGCGGCTTAATTTTACGCACATTTTTTTAAATTTTTATTTTTTATTTTATTTTTTATTTGCATTTTTACTTTACTTTAGTTCTTTCGCACACATACATGCACATACGCGCCTGTAAACGAACAATCTCGTGTATTTACAAGCACTCACGATCTTGCCGCTGCTGATCAGCACTGTGTCAGCCTGAGCGTTATATGTATATATGTACACGTGCATCCATACACGTTCATATGTAAATACATACATACATACCTAAGTACATAGAAATAAAATGTGGTATTTCTGTAGCTGTGAAATTAATAACGAAAATCTCGAAAATCGTACTTTGGAATTTCTAAGATTTTTTTCACATTTTGCTAATACATAGAGAGATATTTATATTCTTAATAAATTTTTTTAATTGGAGCTTTTCTTTACCGTGGCACACACACTCATCACCTGCACGCAATTTTAAGTACATTTTCTTGCGTTTCTCAACTTTTTTTGCATAATTTTTAAATTTTTTTTCTAATAATTTTTTAGTTTTATTTGTTGTTATTGTTGCTGCAACTATGCATGTGCATTTTATCTAATATTTACTAACTTTTAGTTTATTGTTTTAATTTTTTTAACGCTTTTTTTTCATTATTTAGTACACTTCACTTAACATTTTACACGCGGCGCTCTTTGCTACGCTTCGTATCTAGTAAGTATATATGTCTATATATGTATATGTATTGGTCTTTAGTCGCAGCAAATTCTCGCCACTTAACCGTCCACGTCGAATATCTCTGCGATACTGAAATCTATGAGAATCCACCAACGACAATGGGCATAATAAGACAACTCAACGCTCAAATGACTCAATTATATAGAACACATAACCAGGCCTGCCAACTTCGCTCAAACCGTGCCATTTTTGGCCTTATTTTACTTAAATTTTTCAATTTGGCACAAATTTCCAAAATGGCACTTTTGAAAAAGAGCAATATTTCAATACATTTTTGTGAAATCCTTTGCTTGTAACGGGTGATTTTTTTGAGGTTAGGATTTTCATGCATTAGTATTTGACAGATCACGTGGGATTTCAGACATGGTGTCAAAGAGAAAGATGCTCAGTATGCTTTGACATTTCATCATGAATAGACTTACTAACGAGCAACGCTTGCAAATCATTGAATTTTATTACCAAAATCAGTGTTCGGTTCGAAATGTGTTTCGCGCTTTAAATTTTGTTCAGCGATGAGGCTCATTTCTGGTTGAATGGCTTCGTAAATAAGCAAAATTGCCGCATTTGGAGTGAAGAGCAACCAGAAGCCGTTCAAGAACTGCCCATGCATCCCGAAAAATGCACTGTTTGGTGTGGTTTGTACGCTGGTGGAATCATTGGACCGTATTTTTTTCAAAGATGCTGTTGGACGCAACGTTACGGTGAATGGCGATCGCTATCGTTCGATGCTAACAAACTTTTTGTTGCCAAAAATGGAAGAACTGAACTTGGTTGACATGTGGTTTCAACAAGATGGCGCTACATGCCACACAGCTCGCGATTCTATGGCCATTTTGAGGGAAAACTTCGGAGAACAATTCATCTCAAGAAATGGACCGGTAAGTTGGCCACCAAGATCATGCGATTTGACGCCTTTAGACTATTTTTTGTGGGGCTACGTCAAGTCTAAAGTCTACAGAAATAAGCCAGCAACTATTCCAGCTTTGGAAGACAACATTTCCGAAGAAATTCGGGCTATTCCGGCCGAAATGCTCGAAAAAGTTGCCCAAAATTGGACTTTCCGAATGGACCACCTAAGACGCAGCCGCGGTCAACATTTAAATGAAATTATCTTCAAAAAGTAAATGTCATGGACCAATCTAACGTTTCAAATAAAGAACCGATGAGATTTTGCAAATTTTATGCGTTTTTTTTAAAAAAAAAGGTATCAAGCTCTTAAAAAATCACCCGTTACTTCCTTTTCTCAACTAAAATTTTCTAATTTCTGTAGTGTATACAACTGGTTTGTCTTATTTTGGCATTTCATTTTTGTTTTAGAAATGTGTTTCTTTTTTTATGCCAAATAGGAAGGATTGGCAATTTTTTGGTACTTATATTTTTATGTGTGGCATTTTTTGGCACTTTTTTATCCTCAATATGGCACCTCATAGCTAAGAATAGTTGGCAGCCCTGCACATAACCCGAATCGGTCGCTTGAGTGAATTGGCACAGTTGAAAAAGTCAGCTTCACACAGATACACGCAACCATACAGAAAAAAAAAATCATATCAGTGTATTTTCTTGTTATTTTTGCGGCGAATTTATCTGCTACTCAACTATTCGTGTAATTGTACTCTTATGAGTCGTACCACAAACACGTACTCACTCACTCACTTACACACATGCAAAGACACACTCATTCATATATGCAAAAGCAACGTTAAGAAACTGGAGCGAGAACTCGGCGCAATTCGCCGCAATCGCGCAGATAACTAATCGCCTTATCTGCTCAATGCAACCCCACTCCGCTGCACTTCGATTATTTACCTATACACCTCATTTACAGAGCGCCTGTAGTCACCTAAGTAGCTCACAGACAATGAGCCGTTCTCTAAAAGGCTTCGGGTTCCTACCGACTCGGACAGACCACTGCACGCCGGTTCTTGGACCGCAAGGATGGGAGGGCTGCAGTATCTGCAGATGGATCGAAGCTGAATGGGAAGTTTGGTGGAGGTGTCTTCTGCTAAGAACTTTCCATCAACCTAAAATTTGGGCTACCGGATCACTGCAGTATCTTCCAAGCAGAGGTGGCCGCGATAAAAGAGGCTTCGGATTGGTTGCTCACTGGGGTAACACCTTTTAAAGAGGTAAATATTAGCTCTGATCCAATACTTTTCGTGAAAAATCCTGTAAAACTATCAACAGCAAAATTACTCTCTGAAGTGAGAGTAAAAAGTAAGTAACAACAAAAAGTACGGGCAACAAAAAAAAATTTTTCCTGTAAAAACGTCAACCAGTGATTGCTTGACACTTTTCATGATTTTACCAGAAGAAAAAGTTCGGGTAAAATCTTGCAACTTCATTCTCTACACAACTCTCCAAAAGTTGCTCTCATTTACAGGATTTTGGAGTACGGGAACATTTTTCCTGCAACTTCCTGCAAGTTCGTGTAAAATCCTGTAAGTTCATGGAGTACTGGATCAGAGCTATTTATTCCAACAGCCAAACAGCTATCAAGGCTCTTGGCTCTTGACGGCGAGTTCGAGAACGGTGAAGGAGTGTTTGACTTCCTTATCGACTGCATCGTGTAACTTTGTTATTAAGCTTATTTATGTTCCAGGTCACAGTGAAACCGCTGGAAACTCCATGGTCGATGAGCTGGCAAAGTAGGGAACCCTTGAGGAATTAATTCCGGATATAGAGGTTTGGGAGTTCCCTGACCTCATGCGGTCTGCTTCTTGACAGATGGGCGTTTATTCAGCTCAGCGAGCGCTGGGCGAAGACCTTGGAATGCAAGGTGGCTAAGTTCTTCTGGCAACGTGTAGACCGGAGGCGATTTGTGGAGCTCTTGAGTCTAAGCAAGTTACATCTGCAGTAAAAGGCTGTTCACAGTGAGGAGTGCTTTGTCCACTGTTATGATTGGCTGATGAACTAGTTCAAGTCCCCAATACGAAAGGATATCAAACCGTAAGTAGACTACGTCCAGTATCAGCAAGACGACCATGAAAGGATTATTAGGAGCTTGAAGAAAAATTTTGCACTGGCTAATGGATTTCTGCCAGCGTTGGACATGACTGAGTTAAATCGGTAATTCACAGTTAAAACTGTGTGAATCTGGCAACATTGCTCACAGAAACTCGCACACTTGTGCATCCTACGACTGAGATACTTTGGCCGTACTCAATGCGTGACTCAATTGTACTTCTTGTCAGCATTGAGCGAATAAGTTTTTCACTCATCGTACCAACTTCTCAATTTTTGACTCTCAGCTGTTTGTTGGGCCGGTCAAGCAACAGTTTGAGTGTAGTGCGCGCCAAGTTCGCCGCAGCGCCATAAACGAATGTTTTTTGTATCTTATTTTATTTTTATTTTCTTGTTCTGTGTTTTCTACTTTTGTACTAGTTTTATTGTATAAATTCTTCGTTTTACTTTTTAGCAATTCAGTTCTTTTGGTTCACTAATCATCTTCTTTGCCTACCTTCCTTTAGAATCCATTTAGCCATATCGGCCATCTGGTTCTCCTCTGCTGTGTCGTTGGCGTTTAATGAACTTCTTCGTTGTGTCTTTGCTGTTTGGTTATTTTCTGATTGTGACTTTTAATTTGCTTTGGTTTTGATTTTGGTTTTTTGATCTTGCGTTTTCCACTTTTTTTATGCTTTTTATTTCATTTCATTTTCTACTCTTCTGCATGGGCAGCGTTGCCGGTTAGGTTTAATTTTTCAGTTGCGGTAGTTTATGAAACCGGCGCTAGACTATACACCAATGAGCAATCTCGACCTATATTAGTTTCAACCTGGAATTTGGTTTTTGAACGGCTTTATGTTAATCCACTGTGTGAAAGAAATGAGGTCGCTGATGAAGAAGAGATGGCTCATTATCTACTCAGGAAGCAGTAGGCAAATTCTGGTCTCAATCTCCCTGGCTATTATTTCCCCAAAAAGCCATAACTGTTTCATATACATAAAGCCCGCATCAGGTCGTTTACTAGATAACCTAACTGGTCATAACCAGAGAAGCAAAAAAAACTAAAATAGGTATTCGGTGAAAAAAATGCTAACGTATGCATCTCAAAATCAAATCCAATTTCTTGCACTTGGACAAAACCATATACTATAACTTGATTCACGTGATCCAAGTATAGCATAGCCTCAACTTAGTGCGTTACTTTCTGATCTCTTTTTCTCTTAAAGGGGCTTCAAGGGCTAGATAAGATGTCTGCGAAGTTTGCATACGAAAAAATGCAAAAATAAAGCTGTTCTGAGCAGATTTTCAATAGTTCTAGAGTTCTTGTAAAGGAAAAAAGTTCTAGATATTTTGAAAAAAAAAAATTCAAAAATGTGGTTGGCCAGATTGAAAAAAAAAATTTGTTTGAAAATAAATCTGCCTTATCCTGAGTTTAGTCCGAAAAAAAAATTATGGAAACCAGAAGTGAAAAGTGAACTGTTTGCTTTTCAGTAGTTCTAGAGTACGCCGACATATTTTTTTTTTTTTCAAAATACCTGAAAATGTTAAATATTTGTTAAAATATGAAAACTAAAATGTTTCTGTGTAGCTCTTCAGTAGTTCTAGAGCTCCTTAAAGCAAAAAAAGTTCTAAAAAGTTACTCCGAAAAAATTTTTTTATCGAAAATGTTTAATATTTGAAAAAAACTGCTCAGAGTAACTTTTCAATAGTTCTAGAGTTTCGGAAGAGCAAAACAAATGTCTGGCAAATTAGTTTTTCTAAGTCGAAAAAATTTAATGTTTGAGAAAAATAAAAGAAAACTGTTCTTATAGCTTTTCACTAGTTCTTGAGTTCCTGAAAAGTAAAAAAAAAGTTCTGCAAAATTACGCCACAAAAAATTAAAATAAAAAATCGAAAAACTTTAATATTTGAAAAAAGTTAAAACTATTCGGGTCAGCTTTTCAATAGTTGTAAAGGTCTAGTTACGCGCTAAGAAGACTTGATTTCGATTTGCTTTTGAAAGTAATACTTGACCTTAAGTTCCACCCAATGGTCTACGTCTGCAGCAGACGCGATCAAGGCTAAGAGTAATAATTATATTTTACTCACTCTTCTAACTTCCTAAAGAATCTATCTCAAGGGTAACGAAATCGGG